GCGGAAGTAGAAAACATTCAACAGGTAACAAAATGGATTAGAGAAAATGCTCCAGAAATAGCTGCCTTTGTCGTAAAGGCAAAGGAGATCATCTCAATATCTTCCACCAATCCTGCTGAACTCCAAACCTCTCAATTGCCTGAACGACGTCAGGTTGAACTACCAAGCTTTACGGAATCGGATCTCAGTATCATTGAATTCATCAAGTGTGCAATCAGGAAGCCTTCGACTCATCAAGTCAGTCCGTATGAGGGCTTCGCTCCTACTATCGTCAAACGATTGGGTGTGTATAAGAAGGATATCACGACAGATGTCCTCTTCGACTTTCTTCGTGATATCGGCGTGTTACCACCCTGGCAAGACTATATCCTTCTGACCGAGGAAAAAGCAATGGCAGAAGGGTCCATCTCGTCCAAACCAAATGATGCAACCATCAAATACCAGTCATTTGAGCTTGACGATTTGAGGCACGACTGGGGCAAGCTCCCTGTCTACGTAATTGATGCAGAGGATGCAGAAGAGTTGGACGATGGAATTTCTATCGAGAAGTTGGGGGATGGAACGGCATGGATTCATGTACACGTTGCTGATCCTACATCAAAACTTTCACCTTCTGACCCGATTGCTCTCGCAGCTGCCGCTCGAGGTAGCTCTCTTTATGCACCACAGATGACTTTCCCAATGCTGCCCAAGGCTTTTTCAATCTCGGAACATAGTTTGGGGCGAATGGACGAACGGAATGGTCAAAATGTCTTAACCTTCAGCACCCGAGTTGACGAGGACGGTAGCATTCGAGAATCGAGTGTTCGTGCAGGGATTGTACGCAATGTGCACGTTATCACGTATAACGATGTTGAGAATGGCTGGGGAGGAGTCGTTGGTTCAATGCAGTGGCCATTTGGTGAATCTATCGAAATTCGCTCTCCTAGTCCGCTATCTACAGAAGCAAAGTTGGATCTAGAAGCTCTGAGGTCGGTATCAATGAGCCGTATTCACCGACTTCAGTCATCTGGGCGATTTGGATGGGGACTTAATGGGGCTAGGCCATACTTTGTGGATAAATCTTTACCAGATCAGTATCACCCACCTCAGCTGTGGCGAGGGTACCCCAAAATTGTATATGGCGTAGAATCTGGAGACCTTTCTCCAGCACGCAGAATGGTAGCGGAGGCCATGATTCTCGCCGGCCTGGCAGCAGGCCGTTTCTGTTCCGAAAGGAGAATCCCAGCCCTTTATAGAACAGCGGAAAAGCCATTGGGCTATGAAAACCAATCAATATCGAGTATTACTCCCGTGGACGGTCGAATACCCCTTGATACTGCCCTAAAGTCGAACTTGGCGGGTAGGCCAGCATCCTATTCGACATACCCGGCAGATCACTGGCCGATGAATGTAACAGCAGATGACGGAGGCTATATTCGAGTAACAAGCCCCTTGCGGCGCTTCGCGGATATGGTCATGCATTGGCAAATCAAAAGTGCACTCTTCAAGGGAAAAGACTCGATATTCAGCAGAACAG